CCAAAGGTGATGCTCGAGATCCACCTCCCAAACCGGGGCGTGGAGGCGGATCTCGAATTTGTTTCGAACTAAAATCCACTATATGCACATGTTAATACCACAAATCGTTTTGCGGACAGCGACGTCAGCGAACGTGCGACCATCTTGCCAGAGTATTGCAACCGCAGTCGGAATACGTTTGTGACTGAAAATTTGCTTGAATGTCACACACAGAGATTCGGGAATTACCTACGCCACGCAGCAGTAGAGCCAGCCACCCATGTTGTACGTGTGCTGCGTACGCACCAATCAAAAGCGTTGCACAAGAGCATGCCCCTTGCGATAGATGTGGCACTCGACGCACCTTCCATTGAGCTGGAAAACGCTTGCCTGCTTGCCACTCACATTTCATCCTGCCTTGCCAGCTTCTCTTACTCGCTGCACATGAGCAATTAATTTTTATTTTTCGATTGCCTCCTTGTTTTGTACTCTGTTCACACTTCAGCGTACAGGACAGTACAGTCCACAGGCACAGGAGTGTGGCTTCAAAGCGTGCTTTCACGAAACTGGTTTATGCTAAGAAGGCGTGTTTTAAAGCGAGGAGCTAGCTCATGCTTGTCACCTTCGCTGCCCATTGGCTGAAGGCGTTCGGAGTTTAGAACGGCACGAGGGGTATATGTGTTTTGCATCCAGCTAGATTGGCATATAGTATGCACTCGCTTGGCTTTCCAATTGTCTGTTGGTACTGCGAAAATATGAAACATGTCACCGGTATTCATCACATGCACAATGGCAACATATTTGGCACGACTAAAACCTTGTTTCACGATCGAATTCTGATTGAGGTCACTGTATTTTTCCAGCCAGTGGCATTAGATATGTTAAGTTAAACAGGTGTTTTTTAGCTTTTACGGCACTAGCTGGTTAGTACCCCTTTCCGGCAGAAAATGCCTGTGAACGAACGCAAAACCCCACTCTACAGCAGAGGCACCGCTCTCCCTCTCTCCACTGTTTCTCACACATACGTGCCAACTATGGCAAGGCTCTCTCTCAATCTCCTTCTCGCCCCCCTCCCTGTAGGCTGCCGCTGTTCCGAAAAACCCACATAATCATGGGGAGACCGCTCCCTACCTCCCTATCATTCCTGCTACATCTACATACCCTCCGGCAATGCTCTCCCTTCCTTCCCCTTTCCCAACACCCCTCCAGCAGCTGCCAATGCAAAATACTGATGTGGTCACCTCCCCAACGGCAGCCTCCGTTGCAAAATACCCACGTCGTCGCGCTGTGGCGACACGCTCCCTCGCCTCCTCACTGCTGCCGCCCTGGTGCCGTTCTTGCGTACTCTCCGTGCCTCCACAGAACAGATTGCCTACATACTTTCACCGCAACCGCGATAACGAGTGCCCCCGCTCCCTCTCAAACACACGTGGCCAAACCACCCAAGCGTCGCGCTGCATCCAAGGAACAGGCATTGCAGGTGCGCCGCGCTGAACAGAAAAGCAGATGTCTGCTGGGCCACTAGAGCTACGGAGGACAAAGGACCCTGACTTCCATGCTCGAGAGGGCCTTTCCACATTGCAGCAGCTACTGCTCTCAGTCGCAGCACGCTTTGTGTGGTCATTTGCAATATGTTTACTTGTCGACTTATTTGTTAAAAATGAGCACACATCATTCATCAGCAATTTGACATTTCCAGTTGGATTGCAAATACTTATTATAAAACAAAAAAATGTCAAAATATAAAAATTTAATTACCGTATTTTCTAGACTATAGTCCACACTTGGTGTAGAGTCTGCAGAAGACATTTGGGGTCAAGAAGTAAAGTTTTTGCCTAGACAGCCCCGGTGCATAGTTTACATGCCGTGCATAGCCCACACTTAGTGCCTATTCCGAACGTAAACAATATATGCAGCACACCTTGACAAATGCCTGCTGTACTAGCTCACAAAGACAAATGCCTGCTGTACTAGCTCACAATGTAATGCACCTCGTCATGCAACAAATAATGTTTCGATCATTAATGTTTGCTGTGAGTCGCTACAGTTGTTTGCACAATTGAGCCGACACAAAACGAAGGATAGTGATGGGATTATTATAATTAATGCTGAAGTCTTGTCCAAACTAGACTCCTCTTAGTTTCGGGAGTTTATTTATTTATTTAGTGTCAATGCTAAATATTCCTTGTAACTGTAGCTATGATTACTTTTGTCCACTCTTAAAAGGTGATGCTGTTGCCTGCCTGCATGAAACTCTTTCCGAACCACCACTCTTAGTGTGCTTCCACCTTGTTTGAGTCCCCTGTAACCTGCAAAAAGATTGGCTGCCCCCAAGATTGCTGCAAAGCGTCTCGCAACAGTTTGACCTTTGCTTGAGAGGAATCGAGCACCCCAGGAGCAGTCTGTCACATGCCCCCGCATGACAGGCCTGTGGACTAGAGGTCTGCACGGGCCGATATTTCGAAACCCGGCCCAGCCCGGCCCACTGTCTCTGGGGCCCGGACCCGCCCGCGGTCCGCTATCATGGCAACTTGCTTGTCACTGCTTACATATGTTGATTACGGTAACCGAGAGTCAATGCCGTAAGCATCTTTTTTTTGCTTCTATTATTAGTTGGACCAATCTGCAGGCCTAGACAGCACATTCGATTGTACTTTTCTGCGACCAACCCCGCCCGGAAAGGACGGAAAAACAAAAATGACAAGCAGCAATGAACAAAACCATGTTTTAAAGTTGAAAAAGAATGGAAACGTCGCGACGGGTTTGGAAGAAAGACAAACAAAGATCTAAATTGCCCGATGCCTACAACCGAAAAAAAAAAAGCGCCGTTTTTTGCAATGGTCCGCAAGACATCGTTTAGGAATAGTACCCCTCGGGGGAATCTTTTCACCCATATTCTCGATGCACGCACTCGTATGCACAGATCGTTTATGCCAGTGAGGGTGCGCATTGTGTAGGTGCCTATGTGTGCGTGTTGATGGGGAGAGGCGATGGTAGGATGACGGCGCCGCCGGTGACAGAGGAATGTTTCCGCTGGTGCTCTGGAAGAGCATTCGCTGCACTCACACCGAACCGTGCAAAAACATACACGCACACACACATGGTTTCAGCATTTGGGTCTCCCCCACTGTGGTCCCTCTCCCAACCCCTGAACAAGCTTCCAAAAACGTAGCTGCTAGAAAAAATTAAAAAGTGATGGCCAGCTTGGCCCGCTTCAGCCCACCTTGTAGACCTGAATGGGGGACCTTACCCATCCCGGGCCCTTCATGAATGCAGCCGTGAAGCCCAAGCCCTGCCTGTGGGGCTAGCACATAGCCATGCAGATCTCTACTGTATACGTCTGTAGACATGACACCCTTGTGGACATGTCCACACAAGGCATCCTGGACTGGGGATGAACTTGATTTCCATAAAGTTTTCTCTCTTTCGTTCATACGTTACCATAGCGGAGAAATTAAATACAGTTCCTCTCGGTTGAAGAAGTGCCTCGTTTGAATCAGAGGATGCCAAGAGGGAGTTAATGGTGACATGGAAATAGCTGCTGCTTCTCTCATCTTTCTACCTGGTCGGGATTGGCTCCACATGTCAACATTTGTTTATTTGTGAATTCAGGACAAGCAAACGTAGAAGGTTTGGTGTTGCCAAACCTGTGTCTTTTCGTATCAGACCATTCTGTTTGTGCATTTATACTTGACAAAGGGAGTTTATCGGAAAGCATGGCTCTATTCTCAATGAAAGGTACACACCACCAGAATGGCCTATGAAGCTAATCTTTACCTCGTGGAGTCTTCAAATTGCTCGTACAATTGCTGTAGGACGAAAGGTAATTTAACAAAATTGACAGCGACCTCTATCTTCAAAGTCCTATAATGCATAGAATGCAGTATTTAAAGAGCAATCATTTCAATTTGTTTAGAAGACATTAAACAGTCTTTCGGGAGGGAAGAAGAACCTGTATTTCTTACAATTTCCCCGCTAAAACATAGCGAGGAAACTGAATTGATGTGTAGGTCATGTGACTTAAATTTCCCTGCTAAATTTAGCGAGGAAATTAAGTTGTAGAGGTTATGTGTAGGGTGCGTATTTCCTGGGGAAAAATTGGCAAATGTTTATCGCTGTTTATTTATTTCTTAGACACCGGTGTATTTCAGTTGGATGACTCGTGACAAAGCTAAAAATGATGACCTCAGAATCACCAAAAAGGCGCACAGCTTCATCTTGTTTCTTACTTCAGTTTTTGTTATCGAAGCTTGAGAAAAGGCACACAGAATCCACATCCTACTGTGGACGTGTCAGGATTTTCACAGCGCCTGTGGCTGCGAAGTGGACAAAAGCTACACCCGTTAGCACCCCATCCCAAAAAGTAGAACAGTTCAAGCGAAATCAAAACAGGGTCACATCAAATCGTACCCGTAGCTCCTCAAGCCCTTGAAAACTAAGCAGATAACAATGAATGCTTCTCCGTTCCCCAGGCAAAGGGATGCATTCTCCCAAGCCAGTGGCCCTGGACCATACTGATAGTGGCAGTGTGTTCCAAGAACCACAGCGACTTCTGACAGTTGCAAGATGCAGGATCCACAAGATAACATGTTTAACTAACCTCCAAAAAAAAAAAAAAAAAATTTGTTGGTGGGGTGGAAACATTTAGCAACCGGTGTTTTTCGGTTTTAATAGAGGCAAAAAATATTCTATAACCGGTGTTGTTCAGTTTTAACCGATCTTGTGTTTTCGTCATTACTTCAGTTTCCTCGCTAAATTGAGTGAGGAAACTGAATTCTTGTTTATGTCATGTGACATCAATTTCCTGGCTAAATATAGTGGGAAAATGTATAGATGGCAGAAATTTTGAGATTAGTTTTGTAAAGAAATGTTTCACGCTTTAAACCTATTCCCAAACTAGTACCATAAAATGCAGAGCAAACGCTCACAAACAAGTTGGAGATAACCACGAAAAAATGGGCATGGGCACTTGCCCATGCCCATGTGTGGAGGGCACGACCAGACGAGGCCTTGCCTCTCAGGTGGACCTGAACGTGATTGACAAGGACAAGGAGGTGACGGTGGGGGAGCCCGCCCCTCCGCCCGGGCGGGCCCGCTCTCCCGGCCGGCCCACCGAGGATGCCCCCAGCCCCAGGGTGGCCGACGGCAGGGGACACGCCCCGGGGCCCCGCAAGTCCTGGGTGCGCAGCAACTCTAGGGGCGCCCTGCACTCCCCGAGTGAGTGCCACCTTTCCCCCTTCTTTTCTGCACGGAAAGAGGGGCCCGGGCTGCTCCTTTTCGTTTAATTTGCTTATTTGACGATGGTGCAGGCCCCTCTAGGTCTTCACACAGGTGTGTGCATTCTCCCACAGAGTGAGAGACCCATTTCCTGGGGCAGTTTGTGTGATGATGTTAAGCCCACTCTCGCTAGAGGCACTATATTTTCACGGAGAGGTTAGAGAAGTTTATTTTATTTCCTTGCCCCAAGTTTGTCCTGGCCAAAACGAACCTTGTATGGCTGTCTCAAACTGCCTCGTTGAAGGGGTCTCACCTATTAACGGAGACGGTACATAATAATCTGTGACATGACGCAGCTTCGACACAGAAACACCATTGATAACAAATAATGAGGAAATAAAGAGAAAGTCGTCTGGCAGTTTGATGTGTTGAAGGTCTTTTCTGAAAGAGACCATTGAAATTACTGTATTTTGTCTCGGTGGTTTTTAACTTCTTGGAGAAGAGTGTGAGTGGACACCACTGACCATATTGGTGCGCCGAAGTGCAGCGCTGACCACTGTTCCCAAGGTATCAACCACAACATAGGGGAGTGTCTGATTGTGGAAGTAACAGATAAATTAAACTTGAGGAAGAAAACGAGAAGGACAGACAATCACAAACTTCCAACTAGCAACATTTATTGACTCCAAGAGTTTGCTTATATACAGGAAAAGGAGAGGGGGAAAAAAGGTGGAAAGAAGGAGCACTATGCCGTCGAGGGTGCGTCGCTGTTGGGAACGGGGAACGGGGGGGGAGAAAGCTACTAAGGAATCATCTCTTTCCTCGAAAGGGCAATGGAGGGGGAACCAATGTTGTCCTTGGATCGACACATGGCGAAGGCTTCTATTATCTCCCGACCATATCTCGAGGTGTGACCCCCAATTCTTGTAGTAGAGGGAAGGACGGCTGAGCAGGAAGTACATTCCGATGCGTGTTTGACGATCGGGTGGTGACTAACCTCTGTACCGTTGGAGGCCACTTTTTTTACCTTGTTCGCGTCCTCTCTCAGGCGGTCGTTTAAGCAGCACCCCGTTTGGCCGATGTATCGGGCACCACAAGACGGAGGGATTGAGTAAGCACACTTTTTGCGCAAGGAACGTAATAAGTTTTGTGGTTCTTTTGGCAAAGGGGCACTGGTCCGGGGCTGTTGACCTTTTTGCAAATGAATGCCAATTTCAACTTACATGAGAAAACCAGGTTGGTGTTGAAGCTCAGCGCTATTGATTTCAGTCTATTCGAAATGCTATGAATGTAGGGGATGCACACGAAGCGGGACTTTAGAGGCGGCTTTTTGGATTGAGGCCCCGTGATAAGTCTTTTGATGGTAAGCTCGATCAAGTCGTTTGAGTAACCTGCTTGAGAAGGCGGCCTATCTGATTGGACAGACTAGTCCCTCCCATTGCCCTTTTGGGGAAAGGTATAAGATTCGTTAGTTAAGCTTTCTCCCCCCCACGTTCCCGACAGCGACATACCCTTGACGGCATAGTGCTCCTTATTTCCACCTTTTTTCAACCTCTCCCTTTTCCTGTATATAAGAAAACTCTTGGTGTCAATAAATGTTGTTGCTAGTTGGAAGTTTGTGGTTGTCCCCGTCCTTCTCGTTTTCTTCCTCAACTTTAATTATCCCTACCAACCTGCTCGTTCTGTCGTTAAGTGATAAACTTTGAGAAAAGAGAGACATAGTGCTGTAGGTCATTTGAGGGTTGATTACTCAACAGTAAATATTTGCTGGTGTCTGGAGGCAGACATGCCAGGCTTGGAGCTTACCCTTTTTCTCTTTCCTCGAAAGTGCGTGTGTTGACCTTCCCCTGAAAGGAAGCCCTGGCTGTGTGCAGGTGGCAGCTCCACACAGAGCTTCGACCTGCAGCTGGCTAACTGGAGGATGGAGAGCATCGTTCGGGAGTCAGACAGCAGCTCCAACGAAGAGTTCTTCGACGCAGAGGGTGAGGCCCACTTTGTCCTTTATCTTTAACCCACTCACTCTCAAAGTCGGCAATCCACCAGCCACCACGGTGAAGGCCGAAGTGCTCGAAGCCACCAATTTGCTGGTCTCCATTAAAACATTTATTTTTTAATTATGCCAATAGATGGCGAACATTGTATACCTTTTGTTTTTTGGTTAGTACAGACCGTATTTATTCGAATATAAGGCGGTCACGATTATAAGGCGAGGGGGCAGTCGAAGGACCCAAGAAAAAGAAAAAAAATCGTCATATTGCTATACTGAGCTTCGAATATAAGGCGGAGTATGACTTTGAGACTACGGATTTTGGAAAAAAACCTCGCCTTATATTCGAATAAATACGGTATAAAACCACACGGTACTTGGTGCTCTACATTTTTTCGACTTCGTCCACTAGGATGTCGTCCTCGACCTCATCCTAGACGTCTTCCTTTAGGTCGTCCTTGAGGTTGTCCTAGAGATTGTTGCCTAGGACGTCGTCCTTGAGGTCGTCCTAGAGGTTGCCTAGGGGTCGTCTTAGAGGTCGTTCAAGATGCCGTCCTAGATGACATCGAGGACGGCATCTAGGACAGCACCCTACAGGTCGACGTTAAGAACAGCATCTAGGATGACCTCAAGGATGACCTCTGGGGTGATATGAAGGACGAAAAGGATTTAGTGTTGTCCTAGAGGACGATGCTAAATTTAGCTGAGAATTTCCCCACTAAATTTAGCAAAAAAATTTGCTGTCATGATCTATGCATCATTCCAGTTTCCCCTCATGATTTGGCTATGTGCAACGATAAATGCTATCGCATTCATATATAATATCCCGTGTGGTTTCTACAAATTTGCCTTGACCATCTATTTGCTACCCTGTAATTTTAACACAGACTGTGTTATATTGCCGCGCGCAGTTAGCCAAGTAGGCAGCGCGCTCGCCTCCCACGCAAATGCCCGAGGTTCGACGCCTGCTGATCGATAACATCTGTTGCTTATTTCGAGGCCCGAATGTTCTATGTGCCCAACTTTGTGTGCCAATTGTTTCAGAAGCCCACGCGTGTACATAAGGGGCTCTGCGTGGCGAGCCAGAATAAGTATTTCACCAGCGCTCAATCCAGCTGCTACACCACCTTCTACGCTTGCGATATGCCTGTACCTCTGTTTTTCTGCCTGCCATTTGTGGCAATATGGCTGGCACCTAACTATATCTGGTTAGGTGCAAGCAACAGAAGTCGATAGGCCGACTGCCAGTCGAATGCAGACACAGTGCCCCTCTCCTCACTTATCGGACACCAGCGCCAGCCGTACCTCTTCCTGGAGTGCATCTGTGTCACTCCTGGAGGAGGTAAAACATCACGTGTTCAGACATGCAGCGGCACTCTGCTCCTTGAAATGAGCACGCTCCAGGCTTTGCCAGAAAAAGAGTGCGGAAGAAAGCAACACAAAAACAGAAAAAGAAAGACCTATGCTACCTTAGACATACTTTATTTGCCGTAACGGGTCGAGATAGTTTGAGCCAGCGACAGGGGTTTGTTTGGTGCTGTAGAGATCATGTCTAGATGGAACAGAGGGTCCATCCCAAACTAATGGGGAGCATTTGCAATTCAATGGCGGACGCCTCCTGTGGAGATTGGTCGCGAGTGCACAAGCACTGCGTATTCGCGTGGTGAGAAGGAAAACAGGCGGAAAGGCGTAGAGACTTGCAGACGATCATCGCTTTTACCACCTCCTCACAGCTCGTATCGGAAATGGGGCCCATAATTCATGCGACCCCGATCTAGCAGTTGGAAAATCTCTCCACCCTAAGCTTTCTACAGTGCTGCCGTGTTCCATATGTTCTGCTTTCCGCACGCTCTGTCTATTGCATTTCGCACTGCAGCACGCTTCGAGAGGGTCACATTCACATTGCCACCGCAGAATATGGCATCCACAAGTAAAACAGCAACGGAACGCTCACGTGCTTACCATATGCACGACACAGGGCTGCGAGGTCAGCCATGCACACGGAGCCTTCGAAGTGTGCTCCAGGTGCCTCAGTCTAGCGGATGGCACTCAAGGAAAGCTACAATCTTGAGGTGGCACCAAAGTCCTCTTCAAGTGCCGCGTGCGGCGCTTTGCATGTCCACACTAACACGTCGCATTGTGCATTATCGCTGCCTTTGCCATGCTAGCATGGCAAAGGAGTGACTTTTTTTCTTCTAATTCGAGATTGAAGGTCTGAAGGAAGGATATTTTACCTTGTTGCAGTTAAAGAAAAGCAGGATAGGCTCCTCCTGCAAAGCGTTTCCCTCTTTCCAATTTAGCAGAGCGAATGCTGGAGTGGCCCCCTCTCCAGTGTTTGCCTTGCCAGAGTGGACGGAGTGGAGGGCTTTCTGGGCGGAGCTTGTCCCGCTTTTCTTGACCTGCAACAGGGTATAGTAGTGAGCAGATTTATAAATATCCTCAAATAGGCCTGGCCATCTCTAAAGATTAAATTTTATGCCATATTCATTGTTTAGTTGTTGCCCCAACGTTGGCATCGGACTTTCTGAGGCCACAGTTCGTAAATATGGTTAGATTGAAATTAACTGAACTGAGGAGTGGACAGATGGAAGCTTGGGAACAAGCTTCACGTGTTCAGCTGGATCTTTGTGAGCATGATGCAACTGCAGTGAAAGGCTTGGGAAAGTTGTCTAATATACAATTTGAAAATCCTAGTCCAAAACTGCTATTCGCTTTGAATTCGCTGTGAACTCAAAACCCACTGTTGGCACATGTCTAGCATTTAGCAGAGAAAGAAATTTCCAGTTGCTTTCTTTTTGCCTAGAACAAGGCGTCCCAGTAGAGTTGAAGTAGCTTGCGGCGAATTTATTGATTGTGTGTTGGACAGCGACAGAGATAATGACAAACCGATTAAAATTTATCAGGAACATCAATAGAGGTAACAGCAAGAGCATGAGGAAGACGACGTCTCCAGCTTGGAAATCACAACTGATTCTTCGGCACCGCCTGCACCACCAGTTTCAAATGCTCCATGGAAGTTTGCATCTTTTTAACACAATAAGACTTACCTAGTGGATACACCTGTTTAAAACAGCAATATGCCCTGTGGGAAACCAACCGGCAAGAAGGCTAACCATTTAGACGGGCTAGAAATTTGACCTCATGGAGTAGGTCGTCAAAAGGGAGGTCTTTTCTGAACACAGACAGGGCATAAATATGACAGTGGGCGCGCCACCCATGCGTCAAGAGGCTTGTGAATGGTTTCATTTTCTTTGGGAAATCCCTACGTTGGTATGAAGCAGAATTCGTCAAGGTAGTGCCATATCAGCAAACAGAAGGGTCCAAGGATTGGTAGTTGTTGGAGAGTGAGAAACCTATGATCGGTTTTTTCATGCCTCTGTAGTTTTAGTAGCTTTATATCTGCGAAGCTCTTTAAATTTATTGCGTTTTCCCACTAGCCAGGATCATTTTAAAACAAAAATGATCCTCCTCTAATGTAAGTCTTCAAAGTTATAAAGCTTTCTTTTATGAGATGCATTACTGCGCCGTAAGTCAAGTGCAACAACACAACGGAAGCCAAAGGGTTAAAACAGGGCATGGTTTTCAGCCACCCCAGTTGCTCTGGACATTGCAGTAAAGCAAACATTATCTGTTCGAAGGAGAAGCAGAATTTTAGGTAGAGGCTTTGGTGTGCCCCATAGTTAGAACACATGATCTGGGGAAACGTAACAATCGAAAATTCTTTCGGAGAAGCTTTAAATTAGACTAAGTAACTTTCACGCAACAAATCATGTAACATGTGCTTTCACAGTTGGAAAGAACTATAATACTTTCAGATATAGGTGGACTTCTTTTTTTCTGTACTCTTTTTAATATTGGGGTTGGAACCTATAAGTGTGAACAAGTAATATAGATTTATAAGAGGGAGCAAACGTTGCGATCCGATCGATCTAGCCCACATGTTCCCCTGCATCAAACACTTTTCCTTGCACTCTGACGCAAAGCAGTGAAGCCTGATGCGTGCAACGATGCAAGGCCGCGAAGCTTGACATCACTGCGCGTGGGGCGATGGCGAAAACGTGTGTTTAGGGATCTCCCGGGACCACTCCAGGGAACCCAGTGTGGAGTCTTGGGGGGGGGGCCTGACAGAACAGACCCCCCTCCGGTCGGTGCTTCACTTATCTCGCTCGTTTGTCCAGATGTCTGCGGAGTTGAGGACTTTGGCTTTGGCCCCATGACCAAGTGGAGCTCCCTGGAGATGGTTTCGTCGGAGAACGAGAAGGGCGGTATCTTCGGGGGACCTTCCACGCCCGACGGTGAGTGCGCAAGCCACGGCGCTGAGCACGGGGAGCGTGGGGTCTGCTCTTTTAGTTGCTTGCCCCTCGATATATTCCCAGGTAGTACAGAGTTCTGGGCCAAAATTTGGCTTTTGTCTGAGAGTTAAGTGCCTTGAAAAGCCCGAAGAAGCCAAAATAGAGCCAAGCCTGATTTTCCTTGGCAAGAGTCTGGGTATTTTGGCCCTAATTCGCCAAACAAGTGCCAAACTTAGGCTTCACTGCCTTGTAGTTCGGCTGTCATCTCGCATCTTTGGGGTTAAATCGCCTAACAAATGCCAGAGTTAGGCTTACTGCCCGGTAGTTCGGCTGATATTTGGCATTTTCAGGCAAAAATCACCAAACAAATGCCAAAGTTAGGCTTCCCTTTTTGATGGTTCAGCTGTCATCTGGCACTTTTGGGCCAAAATTGCCACAGATGGGCCATAGTTAGGCTTACTTCTTTGTAGTTCGGCTGTCATCTGGGAGCTACGGCCTAAGGTTGCAAACAAGCGCCAGAACTAGGCCTACTACTGCCTTGCACTTCGGCTGATGAAGTATTTTATGTACGCGGGTGGTCTGCAACTTAATTAAATAGAAATCAAGTTTTATTCTGCTCACAACCTTTGATTTTATTTTCGGTGTTTCTTGATTTCTCCAGGCCAAAGGTCGGCTGAATGTCTTGCCGCGGCTGGACCAGGCTAAAAGCCACAGATTTCGCCGGATTGTTGCGTTTGCGCGTAGGTACACACGCCAATATCAGGACGCGCAGTGAGAATGGTTCGACGTTGCAGAAACTGCTGCCGTTGAGCAAGCGCTGTGCGAGACTGGTGTGTGCACGTCTCCTCAACAGGTATCATTATTAGGTGGCGCATTGCAAAAACGAGCGTAGCTCTGTGCGTGTCTTGCATTGTGATTGAGCACTGTGAAATCCTAGCGATAACAAAAAGCGAGAGCGACGGTGGCTCTGTGGTATTGCACTCGCTTCACACTCGGGGGAACTAAGATAAAATCCTGGCGGGGACGAGTTTTTTGTTAAAGTTAATTTGAAGCATTTGACAGCATCAACCCAGACGCTCTTTTCCCTCACAATCTTCCACTCCTCCCTCCCCCCCCCGGCTCTTCCCCTAACCAAAGGTGACATTCCGAGCTTCGGGTATGACTTACGAGGCATGGAATGTCTTCACTTTCAGTCAAAAATGCAGAGGGGGCTTATTTGCATTGCTCTTTTGCTAAGCCTCCCCACCTGCTTTTGCGTCTTCGTGTGGCTGTCAGTGAGCTGGATGGCCGTATTAAGCAAATCAGAAGGGTGGAGCAAAACGCATGACCTCACTCCGTAGGACGCGTAGTACAAAAATGCTTCGACAAAAATTTGTCACGTGACTCTCTCTGACACGCTGATGGGATCTCTGGAGCTGTTGTTTGTGCCGTTTGCAAAGTTATAGAAATAGGTGGGCCACGTAGGTCTGATTTTACGAAATGCGCTCTTCAGTGTTCTGTTGCTTTCGTGCGTTGCAGACGCGGCCATGCTTTTTAAATGTAAATGGCCGGAATACGTCCACGCCAATTTTTCCGTAATGGCCATTTTTTTTACCAGAGTCCGTGGAATTCTTGTGCTGTGTTTGTTGGATGCGCTTCGACAAAAGCTGCTCCTCGCCGACCACAAGACGTCAGTTGAATGTGCGCAACCCTCTTTCTCGACTGTGTTTTTGGGCTGCCCGAGTTGGATTATGCATCTTTCAAGGATTACATGATATCGCTTTTATTAGTAAGTACACTGCAAGCATGCTTGTGATATTAGTTCTGCTTTCCTCTCAATCTTTGCGGTATTTTGTGTATTAATTTATGAGTTTTGCTTAAAATGAAATCAGTGTTAATTATATCTTATAATTTGCTTTTCATTTTACAGAGAAGTATGACCTTTGTAAATATGTGGAGAATAAGCTGTGTTATAGTAGTGATTTGATAAACTTCTGGGAGCATTCAAAAATTGAATATTTTTGATATGCGACTAATGATATGCAACGTCCTATACAACACAGACTTGCATGGTGTATGGCCAACACGGAGCAGACGCATCGTAGAGTATTTGCTTGATATTGCGTCTGCATTCGAGAAAGAGGGAGACCCTCCTCCTTCCTGCGGGGAGTAGCTCAGAGACCCCCTCCTGTGGGGAGAGGGGAGAGGAGTGCGATAGGAAACGGATAGGAGGAAACAGAGAACTGGTTTTCTTCTCAGCAGAAGACAATTCTGTAGGTCGTCCTTTATGGACAAACAAAGTATAGGGACTGCACCTATTTTTTTTTTTTTTTTGCAACGATAGGTGCTATAGGCTTTTCTCACCACTGGAAATGATGTTCATAATTGACGTTGTAGTTGTACAGTGAAACCCTTTTAGAATGAACCCACGTATAACGAATTATTGTCGATATAAAACTCACAGAAAATGTAAATAAAAATGCATGTAAAATGTACTTTTTATAACGAACAACATATTGGCTATATCGAACTTTTCCCCTCCGGGAAGGCTTTCAAAAACGCATGAACAGTTGCCTTCTAGCCTGTCCCTCCCCGCCTCCCCCCCCCCCAAAAAAAAAGTGGGAAAGGAAGAAAATTTTAAAAACTAATTGCTAACAAAATTGAGCGAAGAGAAGTGATTCAGAAAGGGAGAAAGCTAAACAATACCTTCTGCACGCATGCACTAAAGAAAATCAAAATTGTCATCATGAAACGATTGGCCACGAAAAGAAGCGAAAAAAACAAAAAAAACTTTCCAGGGCGTTGTTACAAGGTGGAAGCGAAGATATGAGAAGGAAAGAGAAGCTCTCGCCTTACAACGAACGCATCTTGGAAGTTCGTTGAAAATGGTTTTTGCTATATCGAATTACTTGCTATATCGAACTGATCGTTGCGTTTCCTGCCGTTCTTTATAAATGGGTTTAACCCATTTATAAAGAACGGTTGTTGTTGTTGATGTTGTAGTTGGCGTAGTAGGGCATAAAGTATCCGTCATAGATGTTGCCAAATCCTCAGAAAAAGTTTGCCCCCCGCCAGCGATAAATGAAACTGGGCCCGTGCTGAGTTCAAAGCGCAGGCATTACCACCGAGCTAGATCACAGCGTTAACAACCGGCTTTATACTTGGGGTTTTTGTAGTGCGCGGTGCCCTTTGCAGGTGCTCTCTGGAAAACAAAATGGCCGATAACAAAATGCTGTTGTAGCTCTGTCAATGCTAGAGGCTCGTGCCAGCAGACACACTTTCACTTGCATCGGACAAAAAAAGGAACAAAGGCGTTTGGAACAAAATGCCTAGATGTCTATTTTGTTTCTAAAGCTTTTTTTCGTGCACACCACGGCGCATGAACGCAACACTGATGCCCAACGACTTTGCCGTGATGTGTCACAGCTATTGCTCTGAGTGCACTGTGGATTAACACAGGAATGCTAAATTTTAATTGTGTGTCAAACAAGCAGCATGCATCTCTGAGACAAAAGAAATAACTCAAGGGACAATGTTGCAGCATTCCTCCAGCCTGCCTGAGAAGTAAGAAAAACAAAACAAAGAAACCTCCTTGACATTTGGAGAAGTTAGGGTCAGTTTTTCACGCCGTTACCAACCCTAGACGTCTCTGTTGTGGGAATGCAAAACACCGTTTTGTTTCTTAACGCTTTAATATTTTCTCGCTTAACTGGTAGACTGTGCTCCTTATTTCATCAAATTTCTTCGTTGATCTTGCCGAGTTTATTGCAAAGGCATCTGACCCCGCACGGGGCACACGTCTCCTCTCACCTCTCGATTGTTTTTCAGTCCCCGACCCAGATGGCGTGCACCCTGCCCGGGGGAAGGGGGGAGGAGGAGGGGAGGAGAGAAACGAGGCAAATTGGAAGGGCTGACATTGTTAGTCCTTGAGAGAAAGAAGGAGAAAGAAAGCGACATGAAAGTGGAAAAAAGAAAGCGAACGACAGGATTGGCGTGTCTGTTTTGTCACGACACATTGAAGTTGTTTGGATACTTGTCAAATTTTTTTCTTCTTTGTATGGTTGACATTGCCTGTGTTTTCCTTACGAAATGAAGTTAGGAAAAAGTACCATAAAAACCTGTGCATAATATGAACTCACGTATAATACAAAACATAATTTAAAAACCGCGAAAAAAGTTATCTCGCCTTCTCTTGAAGCAGCTCAATGTTTACGGCGAGGTGCTATTCACGTTGCTCTTTTACAAAGTCGCTAAAACTTGCCTCGGCGTCGGCGAACAGGCCATTCTTTGGGCCTCTAAAGCTTCTTCTTGTTTTATTGCACATGAACACAGCTTGCTTTTGTCGTCTCCATCCGCGGATGCTGCCTTCATTTATGGCGAATTGTCGTCCGGCAGCAAGGTTGCCGATGTCTTCCGCAACCAAATTGACTTTTCTTTTGAAGGCGGCCGAGTATTGTTTTCGCGCCGACTGCCATTGCCTAGCCTGACCATTGACGGATGGTGGCGTCTCAGACATTGTGATGTTAATGATGATGATAGCTGTTTTGAATTCCATATTGCTACAAAATTGAAACTTCATCAAACTGTGTTAGATTGCGCCTCATCAAAGCTGAAAATTGTTGGGACCCGGATATAATACGAGCCGCAAATTAGTATACATGGCAAAATTTGAAAAGAAACCTCGTATTATGTGCGGGTTTTTTTGGTATATAGTATTGCTGTTGTAAGGGATATCTCCCGGCTAGTCTCTGTTTCTTGAAGCCTCGCCAGCAATCTGGCAGGCCCATCGGGACCACCAACATGTGCCGCTACGCCCTGCTGTTCTGAGGTGGCCGAAATGTGTGGAAATATAGCGGACCTTTTTGTCTGTATTTGGTGGCAGGCTAAAAACGAGCACATGCTCATTGCATTCTGCCGGGCTTTGGCAGCGTGAGCTACAATGTGTCATCAAAGCAGGAAAGTCTTGCTGGAGGCAGAGCATCTACTGGGTTTTGAACCTGTAGGCAACTATACACCAACACACTTCTTACAAACAAGCCCGCATTTGCTGACACCTGGTGTGGGCACTCTCGAGTGGGTAAAGACAGATTTGGGTGAGGTGAAGGGGTGGCCGCTGCACGGCAACGGTCTGCAGATGTCTCGTTAAAAAATATTAACCCGCCTGGCCCACCCGTACATGCCGCTTTGCGGTTCCTAACTGTCCCCCGTTACACCTCTAAAATGGCAGTCCCCAGGTGAAGTGTCTCTGCATACGCAGTGGCGATGGCAGCTCCACCGCAGTGGCTCAGAGTCGTAAAGTTTTTTTGTTTACGAGTAGAAACTAAGGGAGGGGAGGAGATTGAACCATGCGGAGATGCCAGAACAGCGAGCTCTTACTGGAACGATTGGGGGTAGATGCAAAGCTAGCTGCCTTCCCAGTTGAAAATTCCCATTTGATTCCAATTGGAATTTTCAATTGGTACCAGCTAGGTTTTGGGACAACCAATTGGTCACTGCAATGGGAACCAATTGGAACCCATTAAGATTCCAACTGGAAAATTTTTTCCAATTGGTGAGACCCATTGGCCAGTGTGCTTCCAATTGGAACCCACTAAAACCAATTGGTTCCAATTAAAACCAGTTAGAATTCCAATTGGATCTAATGGGAATTTTCAGCTGGGTTTGTCTCTACTCACTGCTGGAACACGTTCAAACGCGAATGCCCGGGTGCTGGTGCTTGGCGTTTTGACGCGTTCTCACGCAGATGTATAATGTGAACTCCGTGGCCCTGCCCATCCCCACAGAGGACAGCATCTTCAGCGCGTCCCACCTGCGCCGAGCAACGACCTTTGGCCGCCCGGGGCCGTCCTCGTCTCTGCCGGAGTCCCCCACGGCATCCCCCGGCCACGGGGCTGCCCCCGGGAGTGCCCCGTGCTGCGCCACCTCGGTTCTGCTGCTGGTGCTGCACGGGGGCAACGTGCTGGACGGGGGCTCGGAGGGCTCCAAGGGCCCCGACCTGTCTACCTTCCGGGCGTCTCTGGAGGGGGCCGTGCGCCAGCACTACCCGGCCATGCTGGGACGCCTGGCACTCCGCCTCGTGCCGTGCCCCGCCCCCTGCGCAGAGGCCCTGGCCGTGCTTTCCAAGTAGGTGCTTCCGACGTTTTTGGACCGGCGTGAGGTTGTTGCGTTGTTCTATTTCGTGAAATCAACGTCGGCACAGGGTTCTCCTTTACCAAATCGACGTCATCACGACGTTCAATATTGCAAAATCGTCATTGTCACTGAGGTTAACAGCATGTCTGACCGAGTCTACTACATGCCGCATCATGCTGTTTGCCAGCCTGATAGCTCAACGACTAAAACACACATAGTGTTTAATGCGTCTTTGAAAGCGCCAGGTTGTCTGTCCTTGAATGATGCATTGTCTTAATTCAGATCCCCTCCAGCTGATTCTCAACTTCCGTTACCATGCCGTTGCTTTCATTGCGCACATAAAGAAAGCCTTTAAGCAAAGTGCCGAAATTTTTACCTCTGATTGCGCGATGTGCTAAATAAAACTTCTAACAATCACGGCAACAGCACAGGTTCTATTAAAGAAAGGAAAAATAGAAGTACAAGCGTACCTGGTACAAACTGCACTTGCAACGGGTGTTTCATGCGGCCCTGGCTTACTTTTCAAACCACAGAGTAGGGGTTGACTTTCACATTATTGTAGTCGCTCAGCGCCAAAAAACACTGTTATGTTCGCTGTTCATGCTTGGCCTCAAAAAGGCATCTTCAAGCTGCTTGACGCATCACGTCAGGTGTTTCTCACCACCGTCGCATCCAACCTTGTTCCTGGGCAAGCGGAGCATGTCCTGGGTCTTGGCCGACATCGGAATTTCTCGAGGCTCTTCGTCGTCTTGTTTTTCTGAGGTGCCCTGAGCGATCTCGATAATTTCGGCGTCAGTCATGTCGCCGGTTACTGGAACATCATTTCCATAGCGATCATACTCTTCAAAGTCAATGTCCCTGCCTGCATCATGGTCGCACATCCGGTCAGTTGGTGCATTTCGTCACAGAGTTTGTGGCAGTCGTTGAACTCTTGTCTCTCTGGCTCCGATAAACTTGTGGCGCGAGAAAACCCGGCATGAGCGAAACAGCTCGTGATCGACGATAACAGGACTTGCTTCCAGGCGTTGTCGATGAGGTGCACTGCGCCAAGAAGATCGACCTGGTGTCCTTTTCCATTGTCGTATGACAACAAAATCTGCCGGAGGAGACTTTTCCTTGAGAGTTTCCAGGTGATTTCAATGACTCCTTGGTCCATCGGCTGGAGTACGGATATCCTGTTTGGGGGAAGAAACTCCATTGTAATCGCGTTCAGGTTGTTTATCTTCTTATGCCCCGGGCAGTTGTCCACGATGAAGAGAACTTTTCGATTTTCTTTGTTCAGCTTCCGATCCAGCACGGAGCTATTCTTCAAAAAGTGCCGCCGTCATCCACGCAGTCTTGTTTGCCCGGTAGATTATATCCTTTGGCAGCCAAGCATTGCGAAAGCACACAGACTTCTGCGCTTTGCCGATCACCAGAAGTGGCAGCTTGTCTTTGCCAGTAGCAATCTACTCGAAAAGGATCGTTACTCTGCAGTGCCCTTCCGCTGTTTTGCTCCGGTGCATGCTTCTCCTTTCGGAGTGAAAGTGCGACTGGGCAGCATCATGTAGAAGAGCGCCGCCTCATCCAGATTGAAGATATCCTTGTCGCGGTAGGTTTTCTGAAGCTCAGCGTGTTGGTGGTTGTGCCAAGGGCCACAGCCGCTTCATCCTCTGTACCACTTTCACCGTGTATTGGCTTCAATATCACGTTCCACTCCTTAAAGCGGTCAAAACCAGCCACTGCTGCAACTGAAGTTTGTGTAGCCCATTTGCAAGGCCAGAGCATCAGCCTTATTTGTCATCAACGCGGTGGTCACTGGAAGTTTGGCCGCCCTGACTTGCTTCAGCCACTGCAGAAACACTGCCTCAACATCTGGAAACTTGGATTCCCGGACCCTCTTCCTCTTGCTTGAAAGGAGTTGCTCAAAGCCATCAAAAAGTTTATCTTTGTTTTTCAGTATTGTTAATTGATAGCGTTGTTCTTTTGGTTTTTTCCCGGCAGTTTCTGTTGTTTATTTTGGGTTTGTTTTGCGATTTTTGTTGACAAAATTTTGAGATATTCAAAGGCCATCCTGAAAACCTTTCGAGATAAGCGAGGACAAAATGCATTGTGCCTGAGCCCATTCCATGACAAAGAAATTTTACGACTTAACCACTATTTCGAGATTGCCATTTTTGAGTTAACGAGGTATTACTGTAGATGCAGGGATGAACTCAAGTGTGCCCTCGGAATAGCTTCGAGCTTTTCACAATCAACCGCAACACCAAGCACTTCGTCCTGCAACCGTCAACTTCGACCCTCTCAGCCTTCTTAGTTTAGTAACTGTCACGACTAAGATGCTTTTCCAAGAACTCTGGATGCTTGGGCTCGACTGGGACACACCACTGCCGCCAGGCGTAAGCAAAAGGTGGAACGAATGGATCAATTCCCTGCCGCATCTCAGGGACATCTCAATTCCACATCCTTATGCTTGTGACCGAAAGAGGGTCGAGCTGCACATCTACAGATGCAAGTCCACAAGCCTATGGAGCAGCTGCCTATCTACGTTGTGGCAGTGAAGACAAGACAACGTGTTGCACCAACTGAGACACTGTCACTTCCCCAGCTAGAGTTGATGGGAGTGCTATTAGGTGCTCAAGTGTCCACCTACTTGAGAAAGGCCATGGACTTCAATCTTTTTGCATTGACACTGTGGACTGATTCCATGATAGCACTTCGCTGGGTCAAGGGTAAAGTAACCCAGTGGAATCCCTTTGTCGCTAACTGCGTCAGGGAGGTTCGAGAGAAGAGGAAGGCCCAGCGACTGGGGGGGGGGGGGGGGGGGACATTGTCCAGGGGTCCACAACCCGGCGGATCTGCTGACTCGAGGGGTCAGTCCAAGCTCACTCAAGAGCTTCAACAGGTGGTGGAATGGACCGACTTGGCTGTCACAACCACCCACAAGCTGGCCTTCTTCGCCCATGTGGGCCCAAAGTCCTGTACCTCTGGAGGAGAGGAAATCCTCAGCGGTGGTGGTGAGCCATACTAGCACGAAGACTACCCAACCTGCTGTGGCTATCGAAAGGTTTGGTAAGTTCAACCGCTTGCTACGAGTCACAGCCTGGGTGTTGCACTTTGTGCGTAATTGCCGTCGCAACGAACCGAAAAGAGAAGGTGCACTCAGCGCCGAAGTAGTACAAGAAGTAAGACTGTTGTTGCTCTGTCAGGTGCAGAAGAAGGCATTTGGCAAGGCACTCAACCACCTAGAAAGAAGTGCACGTCTCAGTGGTTCAGTAGAGCTATGGAGTTTGGATGTCTTTCTGGATGAGAAGGGTCTTCTGCGACTCAGAGGATGCCTGCAGTACTCGGACCTCCACTACGAGACCGCATCCAATTGTGCTTCCCGCAGCACACCACTTAGTGGAACTGCTGATCTGCAAAGCACCACCACAACTGCTGCACGTGGGATAACAAGAGACTCTAACCCGATTGTGCGAGAAGTTCAGGATCGTCCGAGCCCGACAAGGTGTGAAAAAGGTTGTGGGCCGTTGTCTGACCTGCAGGAGAATGAACAGCAATAGTGCAACTGAGCCATTTGCCCCACTGCCAAGAGACAAAGTGTTGGATAAAAGTAGAAGTTTGGGCTAGTTGGTATTTCATGATTAAAGATTAAAACAGCGCAAGGACACGGACAAGAACAAGAAGGTAGACAAACAAGGTGCTGACTTACAACTCTTACAAGTTGTAAGTCAGCGCCTTGTTTGTCTACCTTCTTGTTCTTGTCCGTGTCCTTGCGCTGTTTTAATCTTTAAAGTGTTGGAGGCAGCTCTATTTGCTGTCGCTGGTCTGGACTTTACCAGACCAGTGATCACAAAAGACGAGGGCAGGACTCACATATTCTATATCCTGCTACTGACTTGTGCTGTCACGAGAGCAGTACATCTTGAAGTGGTGGGTGACATGATTACTAGAAATTTTCTTCTTGCTTTTCATCGCTTCGTGGCGAGGCGTGGGCTCTATCATTCAGACAACGCTAAGACTTTTCATCGAGCTTCGGGCAAACTTTGCAAAATCTAGAAAACCGTGCGAGCACAGGAAACCCTTGACTGGATGTCTAGCGAAGGTATCCAATGGAAGCTCATCATGGAACGAGCTGCCTGGTGGGGCGGGTTCTAGGAGTGCCTAGTCCGCTTAGTGAAGACCCCGCTGAAGAAGGTTTTGGGATGCAGCTACGGGACCTTCGAAGAGTTGAGCACAATTTTGACAGAAATCAAGGCAGTCATTAACTCGCGACCACTGACCTACCGTATTTGCACGATTGCAGGTTGACTCGATTGTAAGTCGACCCCCCCACATTGCACATCAGCAAAAAAAATGATTATTATTATTTTTTTTAGATGTGCATTTTATTGCAAACAGGTGAGAACGGCGAAGTATCTGTTATGAAAGCCGAGCTTCCAACATGCGATCGATGCCTTCTGGCATGCTTTGGCTGCGCATGCACGTGCGAGGTGCATGAAATAGTCAGGCGTTATCAGAACTAGGAAGTTCACGCTGGAGGCGGGACAACTGAAGCTGCTCACTGTCGTTCTCACTCCATCCGCGACTAGACTACAACTCATCCGCACTGGTGATGTCAGTCCCGTCGTCATCACTGCTACGTTCTCGAAGCGGTCGTCGGCGTCGTCCAATGAAATCTCGCACTTCGCAAATGACAGGATCAACCGCATCTTCCGCGCTTGCTCAGCGATCGTGTTTGACGTCACAGGTAGTGACCGATTGCGCACGTTTGTGGCGTGCGTTGCAAGCCTGACCTCCAACTCCAAAAGGCATCCCTACCTTTCCAGACTTTGGCCTGCGGAAGCTTCTTCGTTTGCCGCCACACTTTAAGATTCCGCACCACCGCAGACTCCACTGGAGCACCACCGACTCCAACAGGTCGAACTTGCGTCCAACAGCGCAGTTGTTGGTTGCTTCTGACTGAAGAACGGCCATAAACGAGCACCGAAAACCTATACTGCCAGGATCAC